AGGAAGGAAGGAAGGAAGGAAGGAAGGAAGGAAGGAAGGAAGGAAGGAAGGAAGGAAGGAAGGATTTGCACATGACATTCAGGGGACTTGCAACAACCAATTTGCAAAGAGGCTTAAAAGTTCAAATGTCACCTAACGTTTACTAGAATCAATCCATTCTTCTCTCTTGTTTAGAAGAATCAGCCACCCACTTCTTAGCAAGCTGCTCTGCAAAATGTCTTATCCATTGCTCAAATGTTTATCAGCTATTGAGAGAGGCACTATTTAGCCCTTCAGAAGTACTGGACAACACATCTCAAAGCTCCAAGCCAGCATGGCCAATGGCCAAGGAATATGGAGTCTGAGGTCCAAAACCCCTGGAAGGTACCAGGTTGATGTAAAGGGTTAACAGGGCTAACTAGGTTGGAGGGTCCAGACTGACGTGCAGGGCTGATGTGAATCTGCTCCCTCAGCTTCTTCACAGGATTGTTCCGAGCGTGAAGCAGGGAGGGGGCTGCCTTGGGGTTCTAGGGGGAGGTTATAAATGAATCGAATGCATTCAGACCAATACATTCCCTCTCCTGGGCTGTGGGCTAACCCCCCACATTGCAACTAAGGCAGGCCCTGGATTTTGGACACCCACCTTGCTTGGATTTCACAGGACTGTCGCAAAATGAAGCTCTGCCAGCCAGCCGACCTGTACGCGAGAAACGGGCCCTCAAGATCCAACTCTCCCCATGCATTTGCCCGACTGGGAAGCCCACCCACCGAAAAGGGCAAAAGAGTTCAGACTTACTTGGCACCCTGTTAATGGCTCGCAAAGGCCTGAGAACCCGGACAGTACGGATGGCTGATAAGCTGACATTATGTCCATCCAAGGAATATTCCATCATGCTGGGAGAGAAAGAAAGAAACATAAGAGGTGAGAAAGATGACAGGATTTGCCCCTCCTTTTGGCTGAAAAACACAGGCTGGGTGCAGTCAACCCCTAACCAAGTTTCTTACATCTGCACTATTTTTCATCAGCCTCCGGGATCGCAAAGGCTTTCAGCCATGAGGGTTAGAGTTGCAGATGTCCTCCTCGGCATCTACTCCATTTTGGAGGAATTGATCCTCAGCTCAAAATTAGTGGAAACACACAGCAAAGATGGTTGCTATAGAGTTTTGGAGGGACAAATCCACCCCCCGTTGAGAGAGTTGAGATGTTTTCGCTGTTGACATTTGAATTGGCTTTTCTTCCAGAAAGGCCAGGAAGAAAACTTTTAAGCGACTGGATCTGATTTTATCAGCCTCTTCGCTCTGCGGTTATTTCTCTCTCCCCATCTCCCTTCTTGCTTCTTCTTCTTCTTTCCATTTCAGATTACTACATCAGAGGCCCGCAGTGTTTGTCAGAATGATATTGCCATCTAATGCTTGTCACTTTTGAAGGTCATGTTGTATTCCTGGCTGGACTTTTTTCTTGCTGTAGGTTTTGTTTTTTTTAATGCATCCTGCTTTATGTACAAACAAATGGAAAACTGTGCCTACATGTACAGAAATTAAATATTCACTGGCATGAAAACAGAACATCTGTGAGATTTTTCAAAGCTTAAAAATCTCTAGGTGATACATTTCAGGTCACACCTTCCCATTTCTGCATTCGGTCATCCAGCACTCTTGAAACCCATCCGTTTGGATTCACTGAGTGGCCACCATCCCAAAAAACACAGGAGCTAATGGGCTACCCAGCAAAGAGACCTGTATTGCAAACGCCCACGTCCGCCTGCTTTTCTAGGAGGTGGGTGTCTCCTGTCTAAAGCCATGGTGCAAATAAGGCAAATCTCGGGAGGCTGTTTGACTGCTTACCACCCCATTTATCAGGTAACAAAGTTGTTCCCGTTGTATAAATGGGAGCTGTGATGTATGGCCAACCACTTTGCCACTAGGAGACATATTTATTTTAGCGTGTTGGGAGCACTCTCTAGCAAGCCCGGGAGAGGCACGCTGTTGATGAAGGAGATCTGTAACAAGGGCAGCAACTGTGACGCAGGTGCTGTGACGTCACAG